AGTGGCCCTATTATATACAGACGATGATGTGACTGAGAAAGAAATCAGAGAAACCTCACCCTTTACAATAGCCATAAATAGCATCAAATATCTGGGGATAATGTTAACCAAGGAAGTGAAAGACCTGTATATCAAGAACTTTGAGTCTTTAAAGAAAGAAATCAAAGAGGATACCAGAAAATGGAAAGATCTCCCATGCTCTTGGATTGGTAGGATCAACATAATAAAAATATCAATCTTGCCAAAAGCAGTCTACAGATTCAATGCAATCCCTCTCAAAATTCTGGCACAATTCTTCACAGACCTGGAAAGAACACTTTATATGGAAAAACAAAAGGCCCAGGATAGTCAAAACATCCCTATACAATAAAGGAATTTCAGGAGGCATCACCATACCTGACTTCAAGCTCTATTATAGAGCTATAGTCCTGAAAACAGCTTGGTATTGGCACAAAAATAGACAGGTAGACCAATGGAACCGAAGTGAAAACCCTGATTTTAACCCACACACCTATGAACACTTGATTTTTGACAAAGTAGCTAGAACTATACAATGGAAAAAAGAAAGCATCTTCAACAAATGGTGCTGGCATAACTGGGTACTGGTATGCAGAAGACTGCAGATAGATCCATGTTTATCACCTTGTACAAAACTTAAGTCCAAATGGATCAAAGATCTCAACATAAATCCAGCCACACTGAAACTTTTAGAAGAGAAAGTGGGAGATACCCTTCAACGAGTTGGTATAGGAGACCACTTCCTGAACATAACACCAGTGGCACAGACACTGAGATCGACAATTAACAAATGGTACCTCTTGAAACTAAAAAGCTTCTGTAAGGCAAAGGACACAGTCAACAAGACAAAAAGGCAGTCCATAGAATGGGAAAAGATATTCACTAACCCACATCTGACAGAGGGCTAATCTCCAAAATTTACAAAGAACTCAAGAAGGAAGTCTCTAAAACACCAAAGCATACAATTAAAAGGTGGGGTACAGAGACAAATAGAGAATTCTCAATAGAGGAGGCTAAAATGGCCAAGAGACACTTAAGGAAGTGCTCAACATCCTTAGCCATCAGGGAAATGCAAATCAAAACAACTCTGAGATACCATCTTACTCCTGTTGAATGGCTAAAATCAAAAACACCGAAGACAATTTATGATGGAGAGGTTGTGGTGAAAGGGGAACACTCTTCCACTGCTGGTGGGAGTGCCAACTTGTACAGTCACTTTGGAAATCAGTATAGAGATTCCTCAGGAAAATGGGAATAAATCTACCACAAGACCCCAGCATTTCCACTCTTAGGCATATATCCAAAAGATGCCCATTCATACAACAGTGATGTTTGTTCCACTATGTTCATAGCAGCATTATTTGTAATAGCCAGAACCTGGAAGCAACCTAGATGACCCTCAACTGAAGAGTGGATATAGAAAATGTGGTACATTTACACAATGGAGTACTATTCAGCAGAAAAAAAAAATGGAATCTTGAAATTCGCAGGTAAATGGATAGCACTGGAAGAAACCATCCTGAGTGAGGTAACCCAGTCACAAAAAGAGAAACATGGCATATACTCACCCATATATGGATTTTAGACATGGATCAGGATAGTGCCAGTCTGCACTTCCACTGACAGAGAGTCTGCGAAACAGGAAAGAACCTAAGAGATATGCATGGTACCCAAGAGAAGAGGAATGAGGCAAGATCCTCTGAACAGATGGGGAACACGGTGAGGGGTGGGGGGGAGTGGGAGCTGGGAAGAAGAGAAGGGGAGAAGAGGAAGAAAGAGTAGGTCATGGGGGAACAGGAAGGTTGAGTGGAGGGTAGAATAGGGGGAAGAGGGAATCATAGGTTAGAAGACAGATCAGGCACCAGTGTGACCTCTAGTGATCTAAAGGGATGACACCAATTGGCAAGCTAAGCAATAGTGGAGAGACCACCTCGAATGCCCATTCCTGATAATGAACTTGATGTCTATAACCATCCTGGAGCCTTCATCCAGTTACTGATGGAAGCAGAGGCAATCACCCACAGTTAAACACTGAACTGAACCCAAGGAACCCAGTGACAGAGAGAGAGGAGCGATGAGCAAATTGGCAAAGAATGGGCTGGCAAAACCAGCAGAGACAGCTGATCCGAACAGGGGAGAGCTCTTGGACCCCAGACCGACAGCTGGGAGGCCAGCATGGGACCGATCCAGACCCCCTGAATGTGAGTCAATGAGGAGGCCTGGGCTACCTATGGAGTCCTGATCAGTGGATCAGTGTTTATCCCTCGAATACTAACAGACATCGTGTGTCCATAACACAAAGAGGGTTGCTCTCTCTGCCTGGACTCTTAGGGAAGTGCCTGGACCCTACCCTGAGTGAAATGATAGACTCTAGATATCCCCTATGTGGAAGGAATTGGCAATAGGGTGGGAGGATGGGGGGGATGGGGGGTGCGGGAGGAGGGGAGGGAGAGGAACTGGGATTGACATGTAAAACAAGCTATTTAAAATTAAAATATAAATAAATAAATAAAAAGAGGAGAGGAGAAGAAGGTATGGGAGAGCAGGAAGTTTGAGTCAAGGTAAGAATAGAGGAGAGCAGGATGAAAAATACCATAATAGATGGAGTCATTATAGGCTTGAGGAGAGAGCTGACACTAGTGAGATCTCTAGAGATCTACAAGGATGACACAACTGGCAAACTAAGCAATAGTGGAGAGACTACATTAAATGCCCCTCCTTGATGATAGGGTTGATGACTACCCTATATGTCATCCTAGAATCTTCATCCGGGGACTGATGGAAGCAGAGACAGATACCCACAGCTAAACACTGAACTGAACTCCTGGAACCTAGTGACAGAGATGGAGGAGTGATGAGCAAAGGGGTCAAGACCATGATAGTGAAACCCACAAAGACAGCTGATTGGATAAGGGTCAGCTCTTGAATCCCAGACTGATGGCTGAGAGGCCAACAGGGGACTGATCCAAACTCCATGAATGTAGTGCCAGGAAGGAGGCCACAGAATCACTGGGGCCTTGGGTAGCAGATCAGTGTTTACCACGGTTTATGAATGAGCTTTGGGAGCCCAATCCAAATAGAGGGATGCTCTCTCAGCCTGGACACATGGGGACGGGTCTAGGTCCTGCCCAGGATGAAATGACAGACTTTAGAGATTCCCCCCCAAGGAGGGCCTCACCCTCCCTAGAGAATGATGTGGGGATTGAGTGGGGGGCTAGGGGTGCTAGTGGAGGGACAAGGGAAGAGGGGTGGGAGAGGGAGCTGGGATTGACATGTGAACATTCCTGTTTCTAATTTAAATTAAAAAAATATATTGAGAAAAAAAAAGATTCCAGGACTTTGGTGGCTCACATTTCTAAGAATAGTAAATGGATTTTACAAATGGTTTCTCCCCCAGGAAGTCAGCTTACTTTTCTATCCTCAGTGACAACCTGCACTGAAAGTGAAGTTGAGACAGGGTACCCTGATGTCCTCAGGGGATAGAGTTCCGTTGTTCTGCCTTTCCCATCATCTCACGAACCACCAGGCAGTATAACAAGAGTACCCACGTGACCATCTTAGCCACTGGCCATTATATAATGGTATACTAGTGTATAACCCTTGAGATACGCATCCATTGGATAAAGGCAGCGTCCTAGTAAAGGAAGAACAGCTGTGCCACTTGCCAGAGTGAGGCTTGATCCATCAACATGCTCAGGGGCTTGCTGCCCACCCATGGTACCCTGCTCCCTGTGGCTCCTCCAGCTTCTCCCATGCCCTAACCTAGACTTTCTGACATGTTGAACTTGAGAGGTTCCCCACCAGAAAGTCTTGATGAGGGGATTTGTGAAGCGGGAGAAGTTGTATTTTCACCAGTTGAGAGACGGTGTTGCTAGCAGGGATAGAGGGTCTTGTATGCAGTGATTTTATGCGATCTGTGTGGTCGTGCTGTGAAGTCACCAGGCAAGCTCAGGTCTTAGCTGCAGAAGCAAGCATGCTAACACACTGACTCCACAGCCCAGAAACCCCAAGGGGCCCAAAGTAAAGTACAGAAGACCCAGAAAAGATAACACACTACTTAGGAAAAACTAAACTGGGAGAAGAGACACAGCCCAACTTACAATTTTACTATAAAACTACGGTAATTAGGATACCATGGAATCGGAAAAGTTGACAAGTCAGAAAATATCTCAGAAGCTCACCCACACCAGCATAGTCCCTGAATCTTTGACAAAGGACAAAAGGAAACTCAACAGAAAACAGGAGTTTTACAGCACACCTTTCACAAAAATTAACTAAAAATTGAGCAGAAAAATAAATTAGAGCCAGGTGGTGGTGGCACACCCCTTTAATCCCAGCATTTGGGAGGCAGAGGCAGGTGGATCTCTGAGTTTGAGGCCAGCCTGATCTACAAAGTAGAGTTCCAAGATAGCCAGGGCTGTTAAACAAAGAAACCCTGTCTAGAAAAGCCATAATATAAATCAGTAAATGCTCAGTGGTTACCAAGATTAGGGAAAAGTAGGAAGGAAGGAAGGAAGGAAGGAAGGAAGGAAGGAAGGAAGGAAGGAAGGAAGGAAGGAAGACAAGAGATTTGAGGGACAAGAACACTATTCTGATACTGTAATGGTGAAAACATTATACATTTGTTAAAAACATAATTTACAACAACATGATGGGTTAATTGTAAACTATGAGCTTTCTTTAATAATAATGTTATCAATAATTCAACAATTATCAAAAGAAAGAATAGATTGTGGAGGAATTTCCACACCAGATTTAGAGTACTGTCTTGACTTCCTGATCATAAGATTTACATATATTTAAAAGATGTATGTCTTTGACATATGCCTACATGGCCAGGCAGTGTATGTATCCAATTACTAAAGCCCACATTCAATTGTCTGAGGCTGTTCTGTGTGCTTTCAGGTTAACCACCTATGCCTTTACAGAAATGAGTTTCACCGGAGGTCTGAGCAGACAGATTCATTTTATATATGACTTACCCAAATCATGTGACTGTCTTCTCAATGTCACCCAGGGAAAAAAATCAGACCCTCATGGGCCTTCCTCAGCAGAGTCCAAATTGCTTAGTGTGTTAGTTGGGAGTGTATGGAAGTGGGTGTTTTCATAATGGGCTCCCTCAGGCCCTAGCTAGGTTCCAGTTACAGAAAGCCGGTGGTAATGGCAGGCTTTGGCTTGCCTCCCTTTGGTGGAGTCCTCTTTGAGTGTTCCAGCCATCCAGGGCCTCCACAGGCAGCAAATGCATAACAATGGCTATGGTGCTATGGATACAAGATTTAAAGGGCCAGGCACCATTAACTGTGACCCTTAATTTACTGCTTAGTCAAGGCTGGATTAAGACTGGGGATGAGCCCTAATTGTCCCCACAAGGCCTTCACTTCACAGCAGGGAGAAGCCTGCTGTCAAGTGCCTGAAGAGATCAGTCACCTGAATTCCCTCTCAGATGTCCCTCCAGTGAACTAAGGCAGTGTCCCTCAGTCTTGTATATCAAGGTCAAGGAGTCCTTCAAGCTTTTGGAATTTTCTGCAAATGGGAAACTATTTTCTAGGAGCTAGGGGGATCACAATTTCAATTGAAATAATACCACTGGCTATAATAGATCAGAGGCTCAAGATGGCAAACTACCCTGACCTTCCCTCATTCTATCCAAAGGTGAATTCTCAGCTGTTGTCAATTCAACAAAAGCACTCAGCTTAGGGGTCATTATTGCGTTCTCTGGACAGCGCAACCATCGAGTTAGCATCCAGAGCTTTTTTATTGGCTGTCATTTTTCACATCTACAGGAATTACTGTTTATAATGAAGAATCTGAGACTTGGAAAACTTTGAACCACATCCAAAATTTTGACTTGAGCAGGTGCATCAAATTAAAAAAAAAAAAAAGACAGTCCTTCTCAAGAGGGGCTTCAGACTTGTCTGTAGAGAGAACTGTTCCCTTGTTCCATGGATAGTGTGTACCACCTCCTAACCCGTGCAGATAGCACGGGATGTCTTGTAACTGTCCCCAGAACATCAGCCAAGACAGCACAGTAGGTGACTGTAGTAGTTGGGGGGAGGGGGTTTCCAAAGGTCGTGATTTTCAGGGTTGTGGACAAAGCTTTAGGAGCCTCCCCATGGGAAACGGAAGTTCAACAGTGAATTTCTTTTTTGTTCTTGTTTGTTTGTTTACTTGCTTCCTCAGTTTTGTTTTGTTTCGTTTTTTTGAGACAGGGTTTCTCTGTGTGACAGCTCTGACTGTCCTGGAACTAGCTCTGTAGACCAGGCTGGCCTCGAACTCACAGAGATCCGCCTGCCTCTGTCTCCTGAGTGCTGGGATTAAAGGTGTGCGCCATCCCTGCCCAGCTAATAGTGCATTTCTATTCCAAACTGAAAGCATAAAGAGCAAGAGTCCAGGGGAGAGACACACATGCGTGGAGAAGGCTACCAGACAGGAGCGATGAGCTTCCAAAGGAGTCTGCAACAAAGCCACAGAAACCACGAATGGAAGATGAGAAAATTCATATGCAGCTCACTCTCCCTCTTCTTCTGTGATTCTTGTCTGTGAGAAGCAGGAGTTCCCCTAAGGCACCTCTCCAGGCATCTGCGCCCAGATCTTGGTGGTGATGTGAAGGGGAAGGGGGGGGGTAATGATCCACAGGGGCTAACAGGATTCCAAAACCACTTGCAACTTCCTATTTCCTTCATGTTAGTCATAGAGTATAATCTGGGCCAAGCTTCTGAAAACTTTGGAAGAATAAGCTTTCTCTACCTCCCAAGGCCCGACTCTGCTTTCTGATACAAAGGGAAGATTTTGAGCAGAAATTCAAATTTTTCTTCATCATGATGTCTAGTGATGAGACAACGTACTGACCTCCTCAGCTACAGTCTGGATCAGATAATCACTTGGAAAAAACTGCCCATAATGATTCTTTGGTCTGTCCTTGAGATTTTACTGACACCTGGCTGCCTGTAATTATTGGAGCCAACACAAATTTCACAGCTACTGACTTGAGTGTACAAAAATGTAATTTTCTCTATTTTCCTGTAATTGAGTGTAATTTCTTCCCTGAGCCTTCGTTCCGTCTCAGAGCAGAGAAAATTTAATCTAGCTACTTTCAGATAAATTCATTCAAATACAGTCATGTCTTAGTCAATTCAAGTTTATAATTCACTCCCAATTAGGTTGGAAATTCTCTCTCCTTTTTTTCCTTCTCTAGAATTCACTCTAAGCTCCTGGGGGCTTCAATAATGGGTCCCCTTCTTCATGTCAGTGTGTACTGTCTGCATCTGGGTATGTCACAGGTGTCAGGTGCTCCCCGCAGAAGGAAGAGGCAGGAGGATCACCGCAAGTCTCAGGTCAGCCTGGGCTGTAGGGTACTTGAAACACCTTGTTGTCGTGAGACCCAGCACTGTGTATAATGAATGTACACAGGTAATAGCAAGATGCAGTGGCAATAGGAAGTTTTTTAAGTTGAGTCACGTGCTTAGGGCTTATATTATACTTAAGGACCTGATAGGTAGAACCTGCATCAGCTACTAACCCTGCCGTATTTATGGATGATCAAAACTGAAGTTTTAAGAGACAATAGAAAGAGTTGGCTATTAGTATACTTTTTGAAAATAAATAATTTTTTTAGAAAAATTAGGTACCAGCTACCTGGACCTAGGTGACTCATGTGACATGACTTCGCTGTCTTTGGAGTGCCCCTGTGTTCTGGCTCCCACACCTCACCCTAGACCGACTCGTTGGTACTCCTTTTCAATCTGAAGAAAAATGTTTTGCATGGAAGCCTTTAGAACAGTGGTTCTCAACCGTCCTAATGCTGTGACCCTTTGATACAATTTCTCACGTTGTGCTGTCCCCCAACCGTAAAATTATTTCACTGCTACTTCATAACTGTAATTGTGCTACTGCTATGAATCCTAATGTAGACCTCTGATATACAACCCCTAAAGGTGTCATGACCCACAGGTTGAGGACCACTGCTTTAGAGCATCTCAGTGCCCTGCCTTTGGATCTGTGGGAGATAGAGACAGCAGAGGTCAGGAGTCTCTCATTATTTCATACACAGACATCATTCCTCCTCTACCATGGTGACACACCAGAAGACAGTTCTACCCAAAGCTTGATAGCCTGTTCTCTCCCCAGCTTCAAACTCTGGACTCTCCGATGAGATCAGACGTGGGACATGAAGGAGCCCTGCTCACATAGGACCCTGTGACTCCCTCCAAACACTTCTCCCAGTGCTGATGCTCTGTCTACTGCTGTCTCCCTTCAGATGACCCCACCTTACTCCGAGCACAGCCTTTTGGGTAGGAAGCTGGAGATTCCAGAAGCAGGCCTCTGAAACAATGGCTGCCATAGCCATGTATACAGGTGCCCACGGTGCTCTGAGGTAGTCTGGAGAATATAAACACAGAAGAAAGCAAGGCGACTGGGCTACAGACAGACCCTTCAGAGAGGTAGTTCAGTGACGCTATTAGGGTGGCTGTACCTGTCTGATGTGACTGGTGTCCTTAGGTGAGGTAACTCATCTGCTATTTTGCATCCTGGCATGCATGGACACACAGAAGAAAGACCAAGAGACAGTAGAGAGGACAGCCATTTGTGAGTCAAAAGGGGAGTCTTGGAAGAAATCAAACTTGAACCTGAACCTTGGACTTTTGGGACTTTGGAAATAAATTCTGATTGTTTAAACTACTCAGACTACGGTGCTTGGCTTGTTTTGTTTTGTTTTTTAGAAACACAACATTACTCAAATGGAATCCTTCCCAAAATTATTTCATCTGAATCCATTTATAAGGAAATAAACAAATCTACATGACAAAATAATCTATAAAAATATAATCTAAACTTCTAAACAATTTAGTGCTCTTAATGACAAAAAAATGTCGTTTAGCCAGGTGATGTAACATACACTCCTAGTCTGAGATTTCAAGGTCAGTCCTGTAGCCCCAGACTGGGAAGGCAAAACAAGAGGATCCCCAGAGCCCATGACCAGCTAGTCTTGACAAATGAGCTCTACATTCAGTGAGAAATCCTGTCCCAAAAGAATGAGGTAGAGAGTGACACGTACCTACTCAGAGCTGCATGTGCACATAAACCTGTGCATACATATACATAAATACATACATACATATGCTGTAAAATAACAATGAAGATATTACAAAGAGAAAAGACACTATCAATTATATAAAATGATAACTGTAGTATGTAATAAAATTTAAAGTCAAAACAAAAATTTAAAAACTAATAATGCAAGTGACTAGCAATACAAGTAATATTTTTTAAATTTTATTATACTTAATTCGTGTGTGTGTGTGTGTGTGTGTGTGTGTGTGTGTGTGTGTGTGTGTGTGTGTGTGGCCACAGCCCTGTGCATGGGGTCAGATAACAATATACAGGAGTTGACTCTCTCCTTCTACCATGTGGGTCCTGGGAATTGAACTTGAGTCATCAGACTTTGCCTGTTGAGCATCTACTCAGCACAATATAGTGAAGATTAACAAAAATGTACATATCATTCTTTTCTTTTTTTAAAAAAAATGGAACGCTTCACGAATTTGCGTGTCATCCATGCGCAGGGGCCATGCTAATCTTCTCTGTATCATTCCAATTTTAGTATATGTGCTGCCGAAGGAAGCACACATATCATTCTTTTAATGAATGGAGGAAATGTACAGGTGATTCCTGAAAGAAAAGAAGTAAATGAACAACACACATTTTTTAAATATAAACTAGAATGAGATGCAACTCCTCTCTTGAATCCGCAGAGACTTTTTGTGAAGACTAACAACCAAAGCTAGCAAGCTTGCAATAATGGGGACGTTTTCACACTGGTGCAAGGAGTCAAAACTGGTGCCATCTTCCTGGAAAGTCAGGTCACAAGCTATAACAACCTCTCTAAAATTGTTTACACCCAGGGGGAGTGTAACACCCCACCCCTTGCACTACTTACATGTGGCTGTGCATAGTGACTTATTCCTGAACAGTGCAGAAGGGCGGGAAGGAGAAACGATTCTGCAAAAGCACCGTCTAAACTGTACCACCGCAGCCAGGCGAACAGGTTCATCACCGAGAGTCACAAATCATGTTGGCAGACTTCGTGATGGAATGAAACTGGCGCATTACCTCTGTGAGCATCCTTCAAAGCCCATGACCCCATCTAGTCCTGGGAGAACACATCAGATAAACGCCAACACAGCCTACAGTATGTCTGACTGGTACTCTTTGAAGTGGTCAAGGTCACCCAAACCAAGGGAACTCCGAGAAACTTTACCTCCAAGAGGACGCTAAAGAGACATGACCGTCAGGAGTAATGTGTCCTGAGATGGGAACTAAGAACAAAAGGAGATCACGGTAAACACTAAGTCTGAATGCAGTATGGGCTTTATTTAACAATTATCTGTTTTCTAAAATTTATTCGATATATGACCCTTTCTCATGGAGAAGAACACATAAGACAAAATTGACCAATTTAACTATTTTGTTTACATTTCATTCATTAATTATAACAAACGTGTCATAGTAGAGTGAGACATTTATATTAGGAGAAACAGAGCAGAAAATTGAAGGATTTACAGGAACTCTGCACATGTGTTCTGTAAATCCAAAACTGTCCTTAAAAAAATAGTCTGTGAGTTTCTTCAAATGTTTATTTGGTATTTACATAAATTTTAGCATGCTTGTAGCCTAATTTTTTTCTGAGAAAATGTTTACAGTATTTCAGTCATTGGTTTAGAAATGTTTTCCGTCATTGAGATCAAAGGTTCGCACCAGATAATTCATGTGGGTCATTCAGATCCCAATGTTGAGCAGAATTTGTATGAAGCTTCCTTTGGATACGTTTTTCTATTCTATTCAATGTGAGACCCAATGTGTAAAGGAAGCCCTCACACACAGAGTCCATTTTTACCTACTAGACCAGGAAGGTGACCAATAAAACATCCCACTGCCTAACATGGCTCACCCCAGGCACTGATTCAGCTGAGCTCTGCTGGAAATAAACAGGCCAGGGAACCTCATTAATGATGCACTCTGGGGCACCGGCTGTGACTGGCCTGGGGCTTTGCATAGAGCCCAAGCAGCCAGGCTTTCACTTGTTCAAAGCAAGGGAGGCATCTTCTCTGTCCTTTCTGCTTGAGGTGTCCTGGCTGCATGGACCTCAGTTAAGTAAAAATGACAAAGGTGAGAATGCCACCCACAGTGTCAGCACCCTCTGGAGTACACAACGGGAATTTTATTTTTCTATTATAAAAATTAAGGGCCAGGCGTTGGTGGCGCACGCCTTTAATCCCAGCACTCGGAGGCAGAGGCAGGCGGATCTCTGTGAGTTTGAGGCCAGCCTGGTCTACAAAGTGAGTTCCAGGACAGCCTCCAAAACTACAGAGAAACCCTGTCTCCAAAAACCAAAAAAAAAAAAAAAAAAAAAAAAAAAAATTAAAAACCGACAATAAGCTAGTTGTCCAAAAAACAAGAAATGGTTAAATATTAGCCCTCTGCAGAAAGATGGAACCATTATGTTTAAGAGTAGAGAAATACCAGTGTGTGAAACCTCAGCAAATCAACCAGGTACCAAGCATAAGGTCTTTTCATGAAGATGGGGATGGCAAAAAAAAAAAAAAAAAAAAAAAGATGGATTTAGAGGGCTCAGAACACACTGTTGGCAGACACTTCTAGACAATTCCAGAAAAGATTAGGCCTTGATAAACCATGAATTTTCAGGTGACTTTTACAATTATAAGCGCTCCAGCTTGGGCTTAGGGGAAGTAATAAAGTGAGTTGGGAGGTTACCAGACCATTGGTTGACTTAATCCCCATAAGAGCACAGGAAATCAAGTACCATTGTCTTCATTTTAAAGATGGCCTCTTCCAGGCATGGTGGTACACACCTATAATCACAGTCACAGCACTCTGGGTTGTGTTTCAAGCTAGCCTTAGCCATATAGCATGACCCTATCTTTATTAAAACAAAACAAAAGAGTCCTCTTCCTTGGCAGAGTTAAATAGTTTTCTGACGTTCCCCCAACTCAGCCTGCAAGGTTGTACACCTGTAATCCCCATCTATCCAGAAAGCTGAGACAGGACTCTGGTGAGCCCAAAGCCAACCTGAGCTACACAATAAGCCCTGCCTCCCAAAATAAAACATTAATAATAATTTCTCCCAAGTCAACCCACATCTCCTTTGCCAAGCAAGCCCTTACCCTCTAGACATTTTGACATCACAACATGATGATGTCATCCACAAAGTTCACACTTGAGTGCCGTGCAATCAAGCTGCAAATACTAATAATGTTTTAAGTAAGCTTTCAATTTTGTGTTAGATGGCAGATTAGGCTTGCCTGCTCTAGACTTCCCCGACAGCAATGTTTAAATGGAGTTAGAGTCAGATGGTGGTGGTACGCACTTTTAATCCCAGCACTCAAGAGGCAGAGGCAGGGAATCTCTGTGAGTTCACGGCCAGCCGGATCTACATAGCAGGATCCAGGCCAGCCAGGGCTACATAGAGAGACATTGTCTCAAAAAAAAAGGGATGGGGATGGAAAAGACTATATTATGTGTTAGAATTATGTTTTTAGGGACAAATAATGCCACTGCCCAGGATTTGCTTGTTTTCTTATAAGAGGACTCAATAGAAAGTCTCTCTCAGAAGAGCATAGTCCTGAGTCACTGCAAGTTCTAAAGACAAGACCCGAGCTTATATGATGAGTTTCCCCCACCTTCTTCCTCCAGTCTGGGAAGAACAGGCTTCCTTCTATCTGACACCATTTCCTTCCTTCCTTCTTTCCTTCCTTCCTTTTTTCTTTTTCTTTCTTTTTTTTTTCTTTTTTTTTTTTTTTTTGGTGGTGGTGTCTTTTTCAAGTCATGGTTTCTCTATATAACAGCCCTGGCTGTCCTGGAACTCACTCTGTGGACCGGACTGGGCCTCAAACTCAGAGACCCACCTACCTCTGCCTCCTGAGTGCTGGGATTAAAGGCATGAGCCACCGCAGCCTTGCTTCTGACTCCATTTTCTACTTTTTTTCTTGTTTGTACTAGTATTTTTGTTTTGTTTTGCTTTACTTTCATTTTTTAAGGCAGCATTTCATTCTGTAGCTCGGGCTAGCTTGGAACTCACTGTGTAACCAGGCTAGCAATCCTCCTGCCCCAGCCTCCTGAGTGGCAGAATGTCAAGCACTTACCACTGTGCCCAGCATTTGGATCTCCCTGATAAAAGCAGCCTGGAACCCTCAGCTAGTTTGCCCTTATTAAACTGTGAAGGTCACTTCTCTTCCAGGGTTTATAATCAGCAAGCCCTCACTTCCTTCCCATAACATCTTACCGAGCCTTTCGCAATTAGGGCTCGTTTCTCTAGGTTTCCTATGGCAGGCATCTGAACAGAATTAAAGCATGAGCACGTGCAAAACTAATCTGCTTCCCAAGATAGCAAATGCTGAGAAGTTCTATACTAGAACACTTGCGGTGCTGACTGGCTGGGCGTGATTAACCTAACAAGCTTAACGCTCCGCTTGCCATCCACATCTGTCAGGTTCATAATCCGCAAGACCTGGGCCCTGCAGAACTGTCCCGCTGCTCACTGACAGCAGAGGCTTCAAAACTTGGGACAACCGGCATGTCTTCCTCTTCCTTGTGGCATGGGCCTCAAGTCTAGGAGCATGCACCGTGGACTGGGGTTGCCCAGACAGACTAGCCAGAAAGCCAGTCCCCAGTTCTGAGGATTCTCCAAAGACCTCGAAGGTAGAAGATGGTGACAAGCTGAAGCCATGGGGTGCACACCGTCACACAGCGGCATTGTCAACAGCGTTGCCAAGAGTGGCATTCAATTTTTTAAGAAGCCCAAAGCAATTCTGCCAGGATGTCAGCGGGGCAGCCGAAAATGTCCCATCCCTTTGCTGGTTCAAAGTTCTACCTTCTGTGACCCTGGTGGGGACCCGCACCTGGGACAGAGGTCAGCAGAGGAGCCAGCGAGTTCCAAGAAGCCACAAACCATGGCTGAAGGTCTTTGTCAGCTCACGAAAGATATGAAAGGACTGATTCCAGAAAGCCAAAGATTCCAGCTGAACAAATCACAAAGCCATGCAGCTACGGACATGTCATCCAGGACAGGATGCTACCACATGATACAAGAAGCAGATTTTGCTGGGCAAGAGGGTGAGGAAAACATTTCCCAGAAGACCTCAAAATGGGACCAAAAGTTGGACAACCAGGACCAATGCTACCAAACTACTCCTGAGTCAAAAGGCAACGTGGACTTCCCTGAGCCCCTGGTAAAGGCCCACCAGCACGCTTACGCCTATCTGCACACCAGCCTTTCCAGATACGAAGCAATTCTGCGCCTGGTCCAGCAGGCCAGCCACACCCGGGAACTGTTGCAGCCCATGCTTAGCTTCCTGCTGCTGTGTTTCGAGGAAGTCAGCCAGCTCCTAGGAGAGATCTCCAAAGATGGAGAAGTGCTCCTCCAGGAAGTTAGAGGGGATCTGGCCTGGCCATCAGGGAAAAGCGATCCCCGGGAACAGCCAGACCTCCTACAACAGCTGCTGCAGTACACGGTCAACAAGCTGCAGGTGGTTCACAGCACGGTGGCCGCCCTCACTGGGAACCTGCTGGAGGGCTCCAGCAGCTACCTCAGCTCCACTGCTAGTCATCTGGAGGGTAAGCTAAGCACCAAGAGAGGTGTGGATGAATACCTCCTAAGGACCCTGGGACAGCTGGAGAGCCTGACCACTGGCCATGGTGACCCTGGGCTGCTAGGGCCACCCTTGTGCTCTGAGGACAGTGGCATCGGTGCTGACACTGAGCCTGTGCAGTCCATGGAGAAGCTGGGCAAGCAAACCAGCCTGGACTTTGCAGCAGAGCCTGCAGAATGGAAGCAGGGGACTGCACCCCAAGTGGAAGCCAGGCTGGCAGGGCATGCCTGGCAGAAAGGTCCATATTGGACAGGTGCAGGCAGACACCAAGGCTGCCCACTGTCAAGGCCTAGGATAGTGAAGATCCAGCCTGCAGCACAGGATAACGCCAGACGCTCTAGTGCCTCCAGCACAGGCCCAGAAGCAGTCACCTCCAGGCCTCCACAGGCTGCCAAAAGCATTCTGCAGGATTCCCTTGGGGTTGAGACTCCTGTGCAAACACATTTTCCTCAAAGTTCTGGGTCGGTGGAGGCTCCATCCCTGAGTGAAGATGAGGACAGCAGCCCAGAGGAGGAAGATGAAGTCAGCAGCATGGATCTGCAGGCCGAGCACCTGAGAGCATCCTCAAGACCACGGTCCTCACCCGCCACCCGGGAGAGCCTGTTTCAGCCATACTCCGGGAAGCTGAGGAGTCCCCAGGCCCAGGAAATGATTCTGAAAATGAAAGAGGCCATCAGTGAAAGGATCAAGTTTGTCCCTGTGCCTTCCAGACCCCAGGACTGGGCTGAGGAGGAGGAGGAGGGGAGAGCAATGGTCCCTCCAAGACCTAGCACAGCCAGCGGCAGCAGGAGGGCCCCCGAGAGACAAAGGAGGTCACAATCAGAAGGAAGTCTTAAGAGCCACGTGGAAGACCCCACCCTCCAAGAGCTGAGACGGGTCCAGACAGACCTCAGTCGGAGACTGGAGGTATTTTATGCCCTGGGTGGCGCGCGGCGGGGCCAGAACAAGGAACGACTTCTGCCATCCAGGGCATCAGTGCTGTGGCCCCCTTCCAGCTGCAGGGTGAGTCCTAGCAGTGCCATCAGCAAGTTCAAGGCCTCCCTCACCAAAAATTTCAGCATTCTGCCCAATCAAGACAAGAGCATCTTGCAAAGAGGTAGTCCCCGCTCTGGGTGTGACCAGCCCTGCCAGGAGAAGGCTGAGACATTGCCAAATGCCAGTAGGGTTCCCAGGGACACTGAATGGGACATCAGGGGCTGTCCCACCAGAACATCAGTCAAAAAAGCTTATTGAGACCTTCAGTCCCAATGAGAGTCTGAGGATGCCAAGGGACTCCAGGAACTTGGGGTCAAGCCCCTGCCTCAGGAAGTGGGGGGTCCCTGCCATGCCTCCCAGATTTCCTATATACAGGGGGCTAGCCCCCCTGTATCCTAAGCCCCAAATTTCTCCTGCAGCGGGCAGAGAACCTCTCAAGGTGGGCATGGGCTGGAGGCCTTCTGCTCCCTTCCCCTCTCTTCCTCTGGCAGAAGCAGGCAAGGGGGGAAGACATCAATTGTGAAGCAGGGGAAGACCTAGAGAACCTCCCTCCACCGCCTCTGGAAATCCTGATGGACAAATCATTCACTGCTCTGGAATTTTCAGATAGCAGCCAGCCGGCAGGCAGCTCCATGGAAGAGACCCTGGTACCAGGGCTGCAAGAAGCTAGCCCGCCAAGAAAAGCAGGCCCTTCCCCCAAGCTGAGAGCCTCCATGAGCCCCATGGCCTTGCTCCCCAGCAAAGGCACCAGACCAGGGGCCATCAGGAATGTGGGCAATTCCAGAGAGCTGACCTTGGACCTGAACTCCCAGCAGGCAGTGAGCCCCAGCCCAGAGGCAGAGGGCGGGACTCACATTCATGCACCAGCAGAGGACTCCGCAAGACCCTCTGAGCATCACCAGAAGGCTCTGCCCTGGGACCACACTAGGGCCCTGGAACCCAGCCTGGCCAGGCTTTCACAAGGTCTGCACTCTCCAGAAGCATCCAGGAAGGGGCCAGAGAGAAGCCCTCCAGGACACAGAAAAGCCTCTCCCCCGAGAGCACAGTGGGCATCCCAAGGGGACAGGAGGCTGCAGAGCCTGTCCTCCTCTCGTGGACTGCCCCAGTCAGGCCTCCCTGCTGTTCTCAGCTCCCCTAGCCCACCTCTGAGCCCCAGGACACTGAGCCCACCAGCCACAAAGAAGCCAACTTCCCCACCGTGCGGGCACCCGCAGCCCAACCCGGCCCAGGGCAGCTGTCCTGTCCAGCCGACAGAAACAGACACCCTTTCCTCTGCCTCTTCATCATCCCCCTCAGTGTCTCCCTCTCAGGGGTCCAAGGAGAGTCACTCTGAGGACGGTGAAGCCACCACGGGCAAAGCCCCCAGGAACACGTGTTCTATATTCTGCCCAGCCGCCTCCTCTCCGTTTGAAGCTAAATCGTCATTCTCAGGACCCCATCCACGAACACTACCAGAACCTGGGGGCCCTTTGAGGAATCCATCAGGAGGCTGGAGGGGCAGCTCAGGGCCGCGGCTGAGGGCAGATTCGCAGAGAAGAACAGCTCTGAGCGCCCTCAACCCCCTGCCTTTTGTCAGAAGGACAGCCTCAGACCGCCAGCGCCAGCAGGGCGACCCGCTTCTGCTGCCCGGCAGCTCTTGGGAACCCTACCCCGGCCAAAGCAGGTAAGAGATGCCTCGCCACTGCCCAAGCAGAGCTGATGGGCTCTTTGGAGCGTCTGGGGTATGGTTCTCAAACTATGTCCCAAGGGGAGAGGCAGTGGGGGCAAAAAGAGATGAGATTCCGAGAACGGCCCAGTGGGGGGCTCACCGCCTGCCTGAACCCAGTAGCTGGAGTCTGTTGTCTCTCCGCTGGGAGGGTCTCTAATGGTCAGGTCCCAGTACCCTTTAAATATTTAAAAAATTATTGAGAACTCGGTAGATTTTTACACGTGTGAGTTACACCTACTATTTTTATCACATGTTTAAACTGAGAAATATTTTTAAAGAATAAGACCATTCTATACTCACACAAATAGCGTATTTCTGCAAAAAAAAAAAAAAAAGAAGCATATTTTCCTATTGTTGTTTTGAGATGGGGCTAGCATTGAACTCAATCCTCCTGCTTCAGCTTCCTGAGTTCTGGGATTAAAGAAGGGAGGGAGGGAGGCAGGGAGGGAGGGAGGGAGGGAGGGAGGGAGGGAGGGAGGGAGGGAGGGAGGGAGGGATATTTGATGTGAGTATTACCACCTTGCGTTTTTGCAGACTTGTTGGTATCTACTGGCTTATTCTGACAGCTGAATTCTCAGGTCTGCTTCTGTAGGCCACACTGCACATCCATGAATTCAAACCTCTCCCCACATTCCTAAGAGTGTGGACCAGTAACACCTTCACATTATGATGAAAATTGATTGAACCTTGAACTCCCCCATCCCCAGAAACGTCTCTGAGATAGACAGGTCCATAGACCTGTCTTAAAAACCCTGGAAACTGGAGGAGAACTAGCCCAGTGAACTTCCCAGAGCCCCGAGGGCTTGGCCCCGCCTCTCCGCCAGCTTCCGTCTGTAAAGTGAGGGCAATGAGCCGCCCAGCCCCAGAGGAGGACTGGGTGCCCAGTGTGCCTGTCTCGGCAGAGACAAGTTGGTACATGCTGTGGCCCAGTGTGCAGGCAGTTTGAGCACAACGCTGCAGGGGGCCGGGAGCCGGCAGAGCCACCCCACTGGCGTGGAAAGGATTCCTATTCTTGATTGGTTGTTTAACAAAGAATACACAGGGCTGGGCGTGGGGGGAGCACCGAGGTCTGTTAAAGAGACACTCTATCAGGGCACTTGATATAAGATAAGACAATGCTCGGACACCAGCGCTTCCTCTGTCTGTATTACTGTTGTGTTAACCGCAGTTAATTTCTGCCTGGGTGATATGCATCATGGGCTTCACAATGTGTCTGGGCATAAATGGTAAGTATTTTCTACAAAGTATTCAGCAGTCAATTTTAAATAGAGATAGCATCTCGGGAAAGTTGTGCGTTGTGATAGTTCTATAACCTTCCCCAGCCACTTGAAAGAAATGAAATATTGATTATTCTTGCAAAAATCTCAACCTAACACTGCTCTTTTCTTACATCTAAAATGCATTTCCTATAGTGCACTGGGTTTCATCTAAGGACCTCGGTAAACACTGCCTACTCTGTTATTAGATGCTAAAACTGTGCCCTTCAGGAGCAAGAGCTTGAGAGAACAGGGACAATAACAAGGCATTAATTAAAAACACTAACATTTTAAAACAGCAGGGGCATAAAATTGCTCAAGAAAATTTCTCCTCCAAATAGGGCAGCCAAATGGGCTGTTTGTGTTCTGAATCTCAATACTCTGTGTGTGTGTGTGTGTGTGTGTGTGTGTGTGTGTGTGTGTGTGTGTGAGAGAGAGAGAGAGAGAGAGAGAGAGAGAGAGAGAGAGTGATGTGTGTGCATGTGTGATGTGTTCGTGTGTGTGTGTGTGTGTGTGTGTACATGCATGTGTGCATGTGTGTAAGTGTGTGGCAATGAGGCTCTGAAACAGAGCCTGCCCAGAGTCAAGTGGAGGTCACTTACCGCCTGCCCCCATCCCCCTCCCTTAGGGTGTGACTATACCCTAATGGCATTCCAAAGTCTGAACACATGAAGGGTAAATGCCTATCTCCCACCAATCACCCTACACCAAGGTGTGCATTTAGCATCTGGAAGCAGAAGCCCATCGGTGGTAAGAACACTGAGGCTTTGCCTCTGTACAGACACAAATATAATTTTCTACCGTCCTGTATATGAAAGAACCAGGCCAGGGCCTGAGGCATGGCTTCTCTGGGACCACACAAGAGCTGGAGAGCCAGACAGTGCTTCCAGAGCTGGGGCTTGCAGGATGCACTGTGTCATAGCCATTGTGTCTTACAGCATGCAGACTCAGTGCCCTAGAGTCGTCTTTGACGCCATTTCTGTTACTCCATGCGAGGCACTAGCTGTTATTGTAGAGAAAGGATGACGTATATATCCTCCTGTTCTGGGGCTCCTTGGGATCAGAAACAGTCCTTGGAGGCATCCTCAGGAAACTCAGCCACTAATGCATTTCTAGTCTCAAGATATTGGAGTCCTGTAAACATTCCAGAAGAATCTAGAGTAGTGCTTCTCAACCTTCGTAATGCTGTGACCCTTTAATACAGTTCCCCATGCTGTGGTGACCCTCAAAACATACAATTATTCTTGTTGCTACTCCATAACTATGATTTTGCTCCTGTTAGGAATCATAATGTAAATATTTTTGGAGACAGAGGTTTGCCAAAAGGGTCATGACCCACAGGTTGAGAATCACTGGTCTAGACGTTTCACCCCTATATGCAATGTTTCTCATCACTGCCTGATCTGAACTGGTAGGACAGGAGCATTGTATAAGTCCCATGGGGTGCTTGGCTCAGGCTGCCCAGTGGCCAGCAGGGCAGCAGGTAGGCAGTCTGTCTCCCTAAGAGTTCCAGGAAAAGTGAGAACCTCAACCACAAAGTGACAGCCTGTAAGATTAGCAGGCTCCTGCCCTCAGCTTTTTGTAGATAATGGAACTTAAGAGGGGCAGAGATAGAATTTAGATCAAATTTTCATGCCACCCCGTCAGCCTTCACAGAGTGGCACATTTTTCCTTCTTGCTCACAACAGGTAGGCAGAGAGCAGCAAAGACTAGGGCATGGATGAAACACAGCCTGTGTACGATTCCTGTTCCCCAAGGCCTCAGGGGAATGAAGGCAGAGAGGAGGCAGCTGTGAGCTACAGATCACCGTGAACCCTGAGCACCTGAAGAGAGAGCCCTGTAACAGCCTGAGGCCATCACTGGCTCTAAGGCACAGTGGGCTCCTTGACCCTGAAATATATGATGTGGGCCACCCTGCCCATCCTCTACCTCGCACCTTGACCTGTTCGTATGCAAACACAGGCTCGTCTGCCGGTTTGGCGTCTCAAGTACAGAGTAAGCATACTTTATTATAAAAGGCAAGAGCATGCTGTCACAGCAGAAGGAAGGGACTTATGGACTGTGCAGGTGGCAGGCAGAGCTCTTGTCCCGCTTTTGAGGTGACTAAGCGCTCTAACCAAGGCCCAGCTCTCTGACCCTGGAGTACCCAACTACTGTACCAAAGTTGGTCCCTGGAGTCCCTTGGGCGCAGCTTCCTATAAAGCGGCACCAGAGTGACAGCTTCCCATTATCCGCTGAGCATGGATAGGGGAGCTGTGCTCACAATTTCCCTTCCCGCCTAGTACTGGTACCTGCTGGTACCTGTGAGTTCTGGCGAGCCAGGCACTGCATTCATTTCCAGCTTACAGAAGGAAAATTCAGCCTCAGCGGGATTGAGTCACAGGCACCAAGGCACACAGATGGCGTGAGTGAGAGCCAAGATTTCAGCCCAGGCAGCCAGACTTCAGCTGCCCGCTAGCCATCCTGAGGCCAGTCTGCCAGCAGTCGGCCCTGGGTGGTTTTCAGAGTTCGTCCTGTCTACCTAGGTTCATCCATGCTTTGTCACAGCCACATCCCATTCTCCCAAAGCGTGGCCAGGTAGAGCTGGCGTTCTGCCAGGGTCCCTTCCCCTTTCACAGCCCTTAGTCATGGCACTCAGCATCGGGGAAGTCTAACCAAACGCTGGACGAGACTGAGCCAAGCGGCTCCTACGTGATTCCATTCAGGAAAAGAATGGCAACCGTACAAGGCTGGACTGATTTTTTTCCCCCTTGCTCCTATTGTTGTTTTTAATTGAAGTAACTAAGCCTAGCTCTTCATTAAACAAGAAGTGCTTTAGAAAAACAAAACTGAACTAAATAAAGGCCCAGTTCCCTCAGGCCTGTTCAGAGCATCGCAGGACTCTAGTCCTAGAGGAAAGAGCATGAATCAGCCTGCTGGGGAAGTGCCGGGAGCTGGTTCCCACCGCATCTAAGCAGACCGGGCACGTGGAAAGGACAGTGTAGCCTGGCAAGTGTGAAATGAGACCACAGAGGGAGTGGGAGGGGAGAGAGGGGCAGTGGGTGTGGGGAAAGCAGAGGTGTGTCTGACCTGTCACTCTGCCTTCTCTTGGCAGCAGTAGCAGCAATGAGGAGAGCCCTAAGCAAGAGCCCCCACCTTGGAACAACTCCCGTGCCCCGGAATTACAGGGCAGTGGCACCAAGTGGGCATCTCCTTTGGAGCTCTGTGTGCTGGGCCACGGGTTGCAGCCAGAAGCCCGTATCAGCCGCAGCCAGGACAGATCCCAGCCGGAGTCACAACACCAGCAGAAGGAAGTGGCCTGACGCGTGTCCTGTGGGGTCACATTGACGCCCGTCACCCTAGAGCACATGAATGAGTCTTGAAGTGTTCACACTGCTCCATGGATGGCGGGGAAACCAACTCAAGCTGGAGGGTCTCAGAAAGACCCTGAAGACGCGATGCCCAATGGTCTGCAAAATCTTAAGCAGAAGCTGGGTTCACTTCACAGCAAAGACCCTGACTGCCATGGTTTCAAACGTTAACGAAAGCTTTAGAGCCTGCGGTGACACCCTTATCTCTTTTCGAGTGCTGGCCTTAATTAGAGGGAAAATGCATTCATGTTTAGAGGACCATATGTTTTACAGGATAACCAGTGGTGATCACAACATCATTTAAGCCACAATGTGTAAAATAGTCTTCCAAATAAGAAACTCCAAGGTGTGGGGGAGCCCCCCCCCCCGGCCCCCAGGGTCTTGCTGGAGTTCAGACAGATATAAAAACGGATCTCAAACAAGTACGACATGTGTGGCCTTGGTCTCTGCATTCTTCTTTACATTTCATTGCCTTTGATTATTCTAACACTGTACCTGCCTACAGCATAAGAAGTTGTACAAACAGTAGAAAAAGTTGTTGGTTTTTTTATTTGTTTAAGGTTAAATGGTATGATAGTCAGTGTTGTCAAGTTGGCAGAATCCAGAACCACCGAAGGGACAAGCCTTCCATCATCTCTGTGAGGGGTTTTCTAGGTTGAATTCGTTGAGGTAGGAAGCCCCACCCTACTATGATTGACAGCTTTCCATGGTGGGAGGGGGTTGGATCCTGAACTGCAGAAAGAGGAAGAAACCTACCAGCATGCACTTTTTCCTGCTTCCTGACTGTGGATGCAATGTGACCAGCAACCTCCAGTTCCTGCCACAGCCATGATGGACTGCACCCCTCAACCTAGAAGCCAAAATAAACTCTCCCTCCCTTAAGGGGCTCTTGTCCGGATATTGTGTCCCATGGGTGAGAAGGGACACTAACACACACGGCGATGAAGTCTCCATTAAAAGCTTAGTTTAGAGTTGCTCCTGGCACGAGAAGATGAGGTAGATTAGAACACCAGGTCCCACCATCCCACCCCTGCATCCCCTTCAAAGCTTCCGGCTCCCACACTTACAGCCATGCCAACCTCGGCCTCAGTGTGTATCAAATTCTCTGGCTGAGCTAAACACCCACAGGCTTCTTGGTCTGAGCAAACCCAACCAAGCCTCCAAAACAAGAGGCCTGTTGGTGGGGGCTGAAGCTCAGAGATAGGGAGGGTATGTTGAATTCTTACATGCCCTTCCCCACTCAAGCTTCTTGCCAAGTTTATTCCTAGGTCATCTGCAGAGAAGCTCTGCCGGAAGTAAAGCAAACAAGCACACCATTCGTGCTAAACGCCCTACTCCTGCCAATGAGCTAGACACTGGCTGCAGACCCTGGAATTCTTCCATCTGGGACTGTGGAGTACTTTCTATTTAGAAAAGAATTCGCAGTAATTGGGTGATTCAATGCCTGCTCAGTGGGTTGTCAAAAGACAAGAATTCTCACCCACGGGTACAGCTAAGCAGGCTGAACTTTCCAGATCGGCTGCAAAGCTGATGTTTTAAGTTTGAGAAAATTATAGGCCTCAAATCCTTTTTTGTTAAAATAGCTTGTGGGCTCAAGCACACGTGTTACACTGGGTCCTGGAGCCTCCAGCTCCTCTGACTCCTCTCTTCCCAGAGTCAGGCTTGCGACTCTGACCGTGTGACTCTCACCTGACCCGTCGTTCTATTGAAATGAGAGTGACAAGACTTCAGAGACACACCTGAAGTGCCACTGATTAAATGACCAACAGGAACCAGACTCGCCCCTGTCATGCAGAGCTATTGGCTCATGTTCGATAGTGTGGCTGTGTTGACTTCAGGGTAGTACCTGAGCCGTGGGTGTGGTTCTGGGATGAACCTAAAACCTGCTGCCTTTGATTCAGGTACCACCCTAAGTGGCTGGGCAGGGCTGGGCTGAGCACGCAGAAGCAAACAATGTCAGAGGCCTCGGAGAGCTTACCCACATGTGAGTAGCTTTAGGGACCATGGCTCTAGGGTTTAAAGCGGTGTTTCTCAACCTGTGGGTCACAGCCCCTTTGGAGGCCATATATCAGATATCCTGGATATGGGATCTTTACATTATGATTTCTAACGGTAACAGAAATGCACTTATGCAGTAGTAATGAAATGATTTTATGGCTGGGAGGGTCACCACATCATGAGGTATTAGAGGGTGGCAGCATTAGGAAGGTTGAGAACCACTGGTTTCGAGGAAGATTCCTGAAGATCTAATGAAACAAGGCAGAATCCCAGCTGCTGGATTGCACAGACACACAGTGAATGAAACTGGGGTATGTGGCGGAGGGCGGGGTCCCTGCAAGCATCATGGCTGGCGGGGAAATGATCCTGGTGAGGTAAGAAGGAAATCCAGTTCAGCTCATTTTGGTTAGCCAGTGAGTGCTTGGTCAACCTTCTGAAGTCTGATGGCAAGTGATTTTTTTTTAACAGTAGAACTTTGAAAAAGCTTCTCCTCGTGACAATCATCACAGCCAAGATTTAGGTGTGGCTACATCAAAACTCCTTTGCAAACAACACCTGTTTAGCAAAGCCCCTTGTCAACTTTTCTGCTAGAATGGGTTCTGTTGACTGAGAAACATTGCTTAGGAGTCTGGGACTAGGGAGGAAAGGTTTGCAATAAGAGTAAGCATTGACTGAGAAGAGGTGCTCAGGGTTTTGGGGGGATTCTGGTGGAGGCTGGCTCCACAGACTAGAAAAAGATCACCAGGTTAGCAGACAGCATTCCCTCCAGTCTTCCAGGCAGAGTTCTTCCATAAAGAAAAAAGCCTGAGTGTTTAACAATTCTGATTTCTCTAGTTCTTGTCCGTGAGCACACAGTCCTCTTGCCTTGTACACTGGGGTACAGATAGGTATGACACAAGAGGGTCTTCTAAAATTTATTTATTTTTTAAGTTTACATATAAATCCCAGTTCTTCCTCCCTCGCCTCACCCCACCCCTGTTCCTCAGAGAGGGTATGGCCTCCCAGGGGAGTCAATGAAGCCTGTCCTATCACAACCATGAGGCCTGACCAAGGCCCTCCCACCGTGTCTAGACTGAGCAAGGTATCTCTCCATAAGAAAAGGGCTCCAAGAAGCCAGTTCATGTTCTAGGGATAGACCTTGGACCCACTGCCAGTGGACTCATAAACTGCCCAATCCACCCACTGTCACCTGCGTTCAGGGAGTCTAGTTAGGTCCTATGCAAGTTCTGTAGCTAACACAAGAGGATTTTTTAAAGTTTTTGTTTCTGGAAAGAAAGGTTGAACCTGCTAATCCTACGGAAAGGTAGATCACCAACCTAGGCTTCCCTCACCCAAGAGCCCAACTATAGAAGCTCAGGCTAGGTTGAGTTCATTAATCACTGAGTGTCCCACTGTGGTGGTGAGAGCTAGAAGTGACCAGCCTGAAAACAGGTGACATGCTATAACATAGAGAATCAGCATCCTAGACAACTTCCTGGAAGAGCCAGCTATGAACTTCTGCTATGCCTCACAAAAGTGCATGCTAGAGGCCTTCCAGAGACTAGAGCCTGCCCCTCCCACACCATGCCATGCTGCAGGTAGCAAAGACAGGGGGCAGCAGCTTTTGTTCCTACCACCAGCCATAGATGGCACCTTCTTACCCTTCTAGAGGATTTTTTCATACACTGAGAGTCTTGATGAGTTGCCATGTGTCCCCACATGTGATACATGGGGGCCCAGCTGCCGCTAGTCCCAGTAAGCAATGACAATACGCAGTGTGGCCCAGTGACCCACAGGCAATTCTAAGTCACCTTCTACCAGAGCATGCTGGGAGAGACTAAGTCACCTCTACCATGTCAAAGGAGAGAGCTGCCAGAGCTAAGGAGCTGGGAGCAGGAAAGGCAATGAAGCCCACAGGCCAGGCAGTGCTGAGCTGACACCAGAGCAGATGGGTTGCAAGAAGTAAGGACTTGGTCATCAGACAAACCTCACCTAGCTTAAGTGACCCGTGAGCTAAACTCTGTACAAAAGAAATTAAACCCACTTCAAGCTGCCAGGCTTGCAGCATCGCCTCAGTTGTGTCTCTCCTGGAGACCAGGCCTTCCCCAAAACCCATGTCTATGATTCTGCCATAGGAAGTAAATTCCTGGCAGCCACGAAGGGCAAGTTCAGTTCCACAGGCTCCCAGCTCCCTTTACCTATGCTTGCCCACTCTGTCAAGTCTTGTCCTTGCTGGGCCAAATCCACTTTTTTTTTTCTCAATAGAGAAGACGAGAGTTTTTTTTTTCTTTAATTGTTTAGTAATTAAACCAATGGGCCCAACCCACCAAGTAAGCACTCATGAGTGTACTTTTCCATAGTAGGGTTAGAAAGCAGCAAGGGACATTGTTTGATCTATCATTCTTCATTCCAGACAAGAGGATGCCTCCACAGAGCCAGGGGGTCACATCACGCCCACACTCTTACTTGGGCCAGCTCTCCTCTGTGGGTGAACATACACATTCATCCTCCATCCCCATGGGGGCCTCAGAGCTGTAGGGAGGGAGGCATCAGCCCAACTTCTACCCAACACATTTAGTAACATAGCAAACAGATCTGTCCCGGGGGAAAAACACAATCTTTTATTTCCATCAAGGCATTCACGAAGGTGGGAAAAATGGTGCAAATATAGTATTCTAGCAGAGCAGTGATAGCTTTTTTGCAAGTATAAATACAATCCTCACAATGAAATATAACCACTCTCCACGGGCTGTGCTGTTGTTTCCTATAAGCTACATCTATTTTCCTTCCTTATGTCACACGCCCAGTCCAGATTTTCAAATATTCCAAACTGATAGAAATGCATGGCAGACAGACCAAAGAGATTTGTCCCTTCATTGCAAAGAGCTTATGCTCGACAAGACTTGATTCATAAATCCTACAGTGTGAATGAAAGGAATTTTGAGAAATGTATTCTTTTTCTAAAATAAACCGGTGTTTTACATGTACCGGGGGAGCTGGTACAGTGAATTATACATGTTGACATGTTTGTCAATTGATCATCTGGTCGACCACTTACCGGCTGCCAAGCACCCACTCTGTCTTCCAAAGGAAATCTTTTCAAAGGTAATATATTTTTAAGTAGCCCCACATCAAAGATTCTGTTGAACCACCATAAAGTAAATGAGTTCTGAGCCTGTATTAACAGAACACGTTATATTGCACCATCGTTTACTTCCCGTGCCTACCTAAAGTTTCAATAAAGTTCCATCAATCCATCCAGACATTTTTATGAAATGTAATTAAAGATGCGTTGCACAAGAGGAGGCACAAACAGTTCATTCACTCGGCTCCCTAACTCAATTTTATGGAGGAACTTGGATTCTACTGGCTTGTGGACTTCAGAAAGTCACTTCGAGGATCATGTGTGGCCCCTGCATCGGGTGACAATGACTTTCTGCTGATCCAACAACCAGGGTTCTGAGCACCGGTGTCCCAGACACCTTGGCAGTTGGGTACTTGAACCAGCGTCTGACCTTGGTTGTAATGGCACTGGCAGGGCTGAACAGA